AGGTCCAGTTAAAGTTCTCATCCCCAAAAGTTCACATGGCCCCCTAAGCAGTTAGTGGCTCCCTATTTTTATAACATGTTTAGCCTCCAAGTAATGTTGTGTTAATATTACTGCTATTAGCATATAAGATTTGCCAGTAATGATCATTTATAGCTTTCATCATTATTGTGTACATGGAAGCTGTTTGTAACAGACACCAGACATACAAGGCATAATTACTTCAGACTGAAAAAAGTGGAGAGTTTGTGCCCCATCTCAGAAGGCTATAGTTATAACTTTGAAGAAAAATGATGGTGTAGAAATTATCCAAAAACATTTCTTTAATGTTCCTTTGAAAATCCCCTTCCTGGTCAGCTTGATATAAATGGGAAATTCAATGAGCCCTTCATAGCATCTTGAACTTGTTATTCCATGCATTGTCATCAATAACATTATATTTGCTGAACTAATTAGCGGTTAGAGTTGTCCCCCCTTCACAATTTGCTTGAAAGGGTCATCTGCTCATTGTGTTAGAAGGCCAAGCAGCTGATGTGTCTTTGATGACATATTGTTACTGAGATGAAACTGTCAAGGTAAATGATGCCTTCATATTTACTGTTTTGTGTGTAATTTTCCCCAGAAACCCATGCTACCTGATGTGGATATGGTTGTCAGGCTCAATGACTTAGTCATTGTCTAGCATCTTAGTCTCAATGATTGCATGTGTGGATGCTTATGATCTCAATAACTGGATTGTCTGGTACAACTCAGTTATTTACAGATATCATGTAGCTAGAATATTGTGTAGCAACAAACAACAAACAAACGAAAACAATTTATGCCAGCTTTGGATTAGGGAATTTGTGTGATAAATGTAGTCAAGGAAATTAAAACATGCAATATTGCCCCACTACTTTTAGATTTTGCCCATAAGTATGAAGTATAATAACCCAAAAGAAAATAATAAATTCCATTAAAATATAGATTTTAAACTTGTTCCACTTCAAACACTTTTGGTTGAGGAAATATAAGTAATACTATTAAACAAATCTCTTAAAATTAGTACTGTAGATCAGCCCAGTGTGCTCTTAAATATGAAGTGTGATTTGCTATGAGCAGCCAAAATGAAATCAGAAGATTCCATTGATTGTAATTTTATGGTGTTATCCCTCTTCTGATTGAATCTGTATGTATTATACTAATATTGTACAGATTCTCTGAAAATAAGAGATATTGTCCTGTTCAAGATTCAGCCCACAATTTTTAAATGTCAGATTATTCTGTTAGTATTAGACTTAGGAGACATTATCCCTCCCCCTGGTCAAAGGCATACAGGATTAAATCAAGTTAACTCTCTTAAAGTTGTACTAATTAATGGCCTATTTGCTTTCATAGTCTGCTTTCTACATGTCTGTAATATGAGGGGCGGTGGGGTAGCCTAATGGTTAAAGCGTTGTCTCGTCACGCCGAAGACCCGGGTTCGAATCCCCACATGGGCACAATGTGTGAAGCCCATTTCTGGTGTCCCCCGCCGTGATGTTGCTGGAATATTGCTAAAAGCGGCGTAAAACCAAACTCAGTCAGTCAGTCTGAAATATGATCTACTATCATCAGATTTTAAAGTTGTTTTCCTTTATCTAATTAAGGGCATATGAATAGTAAAAAATAGTTTAAAAAATCTCTAAACATTGGCAATATTGACCTGTTGCATGTAGACTCTGTTTCACAAGTTTCACATATGACTAAATACTATCAACAGCCAAGAGGAATCTTTAGATTCGATAACTGTAATGTTTTAGTCAACTTTACTCAAGCAGATATTGTCACAACAAGGAATAAGAACGCCATAATAACCTTACCAGATAGATTTAACATGAACCTAACAGTTGACACACTCACACCCATTCAGCTTGAGTCAAATAACTATCACCCTTCAAGGGCATCACACACAGCAGGCAGTTTAGACACAAATCAAACATTGCACAATCACTGTTTCCCTCAAAATACTAAAGGTTACTACATGCAAATCACTAATACATTAATAGTGTGCTTACAATCAACCCTTCTCATACAATACATCCAACTGTAGATTTTTAAGGCATATTCCCACTCTTGGTTAAGGACATGTGAGTATCATTATTACTATTTCATTATTAATGCTATACTATTATTTCATTCAGAATTTGCTGACAAGTTGGAATTGTTATTTACCACTATAAGCTCAGAGGAAATCTTGAAATTCCATAAACTGTAAGTTTTAAAGGCTTTATCCCACTTCGGGCAAAGGGCATGTCATTCATGATAACAGTTAAAAGTCTCTGAAAATAAGAACTATTGACCCAGTACATTCATAATTTGCTCACAGGTTTGAAATGTTATTCAATATCATCAGCCAAGATACCATTTTGAAATTGTGTAAACTGTAGGTTTAAAGACATTATCCTACTTCTCCTCAAAGGCACGTGATTGATAATAAAAGTTAAAAATCTCTGAAAATTTGAACTATTGACCCAGTACATTCATAATTTCCTCACAGGTTTGAAATACTATTTAATATCATCAGTCCAAAGGTAAAGCTTCAAATTCCTTAAACTGAGGTTTTAAAGGCATTATCCCACTTCTGGTCATAGGCACGTAATTAATAATAATAGTTAAACATCTCTGAACATTTGTATTATAGACCCAGTACATTAATAATTTGCTTATAAGTTTGAAATGCTATTTAATATCATTAACCAAGATAACTTCTTGAAATTCCATAAACTGTAGGTTTTAAAGGCATTATCCCACTTCTAGTTAAATGCACGTGATTAATAATAATAGTTAAAAATCTCTGTCAAATAGAATTATTGACCCAGTACATTCATAATTTGCTTGTAGGTTTGAAATACTATTTACTATCACCAGGCCAGATAACATCTTGAAATTCCATAAACTGTAGGTTTTAAAGGCATTATCCCACTTCTGGTCAAATGCATGTGATTAATAATAATAGTTAAAAATCTCTGAAAAATTTGAACTATTGACCCAGTACATTCAATAATTTACTTGTAAGTTTGAAATGCTATTTCCTATCATCAGCCAAGATAACTTCTTGAAATTCCATAAACTGTAGGTTTTAAAGGCATTATCCCACTTCTGGTCAAATGCACGTGATTAATAATAATAGTTAAAAATCTCTGAAAATTTGAATTATTGACCCAGTACATTAATAATTTACTTGTAAGTTTGAAATGCTATTTCCTATCATCAGCCAAGATAACTTCTTGAAATTCCATAAACTGTAGGTTTTAAAGGCATTATCCCACTTCTGGTCAAATGCACGTGATTAATAATAATAGTTAAAATCTCTGTAAAATAGAATTATTGACCCAGTACATTCATAATTTACTTGTAAGTTTGAAATGCTATTTCCTATCATCAGCCAAGATAACTTCTTGAAATTCCATAAACTGTAGGTTTTAAAGGCATTATCCCACTTCTGGTCAAATGCACGTGATTAATAATAATAGTTAAAAATCTCTGTAAAATAGAATTATAGACCCAGTACATTAATAATTTACTTGTAGGTTTGAAATGCTAATCTATATCATCAGCCGAGACAGCTTCTTGAAATTCCATAAACTGTAGGTTTTAAAGGCATTATCCCACTTCTGGTCAAATGCACGTGATTAATAATAATAGTTAAAAATCTCTGAAAATTTGAATTATTGACCCAGTACATTAATAATTTGCTTGTAAGTTTGAAATGCTATTTCCTATCATCAGCCAAGATAACTTCTTGAAATTCCATAAACTATAGGTTTTAAAGGCATTATCCCACTTCTGGTCAAATGCACGTGATTAATAATAATAGTTAAAAATCTCTGTAAAATAAAACTATTGACCCAGTACATTAATAATTTACTTGTAAGTTTGAAATGGTAATTACTATCATCAGCCTAGACAGCTTCTTGAAATTCCATAAACTGTAGGTTTTAAAGGCATTATCCCACTTCTGGTCAAAGGCACGTGATTAATAATAATAGTTAAAAATCTCTGTAAAATAGAATTATTGACCCAGTACATTCATAATTTACTTGTAAGATTTGAAATGCTAATTATATCATCAGCCCACACACCTTCTTTAAATTCCATAAACTGTAGGTTTTAAAGGCATTGTCCCACTTCTGGTCAAATGCACGCTATTCATAATAATAGTTAAAAATCTCTGAACATTTGTACTATTGACCCAGTACATTCATAATTTGCTTGTAAGTTTGAAATGCTATTTACTACCATCCTCCCAGATAACTTCTCGTAATTCCATAAACTATAGGTTTTAAAGGCATTATCCCACTTCTGGTCAAATGCACGTGATTAATAATAATAGTTAAAAATCTCTGTAAAATAGAACTATTGGCCCAGTACATTAATAATTTACTTGTAGGTTTGAAATGCTACTTCCTATCATCAGCCAAGAAAATTCTTGAAATTCCATAAACTGTAGGTTTAAAGGCATTATCCCACTTCTGGTCAAAGGCAAGTGATTAATAATAACAGTTAAAAATCTCTGAACATTTGTATTATAGACCCAGTACATTCATAATTTGCTTGTAAGTTTAAAATGCTATTTCCTATCATCCTCCCAGATAACTTCTTGAAATTCCTTAAACTATAGGCTTTAAAGGCATTATCCCATTTCTGGTCAAAGGCATCTGATTAATAATAATAGTTACAAATCTCTGAAAATTTGAATTATTGACCCAGTACATTCATAACTTGCTCACATGTTTGAAATGCTATGTACTAGTATCATCAGCTAAGAGGAAATCTTGAAATTCCAGTAAAATCCTCACAAGATATACAACGAATAAAAAGAAATTCTGCTTAGTGTATGTCCATTTCTTACATGTAAATCTGCACATGGTAACTTTGAAATATAATGAAGATATGGCATCTGCAAAGCTTTAAAAGTCATTTTTTCAGTCATTCCTCCATTTACACTTTTCCAGTTACAGAGTTAGAAATTAACATAAGCCTTCTTGCCCTTCTGCCCCTCTGTATCAAAACTCAATACAGTCACAAACACTTGGGATGGACTCCATTTCTGAACTTTCATTGTTGTGATGCTTGTAATTCAGGTTCTTGAATTTCTCAATCAGAAAATGACATGCTTCTTTCACTGCTTCGTACAAAGTGTGGTGTGGTGTTGCACTGTGAAGAAAACAGAAAGACATAATCAATGTACCATGTTTGCATTAACTAACTACATCAAAAACATTCACAAGAAAATGGCCACCAACATACTTAAAAACCATGGAAAGTACTTTGCAGTTGCAAAGTGAGTGGATTGAACAAGAGCGGAGTGGAGAGGAGTGGGTGGTGCAAGTGAAATGAGTGAGTGCGTGGATGGGTTGGGGAATGAGTGAGTGAGTGAGTGAGAGAAGCGGAGTTGAGTTGAGTTAAGTTGAGTGGAGTTGACTTGAGAGGAGTGGGTGGTGTGAGGGAAGAGGGTGTAGTGAGAGTAGCATAGTGGGTGGAGTGACTGGAGCGGAGTGAGTCGAGCAAGGGAAGAGGGTGTAGTGAGAGTAGCGTAGTGGGTGGAGTGACTGGAGCGGTGAGGAGAGTGGAGGAGTGAGGGGAAGAGGGTGTAGTGAGGGTGTAGTGAGAGTGCGTAGTGGGTGGAGTGACTGGCGAGTGAGTGGGTGGAAAGAGTGAGTGAGGAGTAGTGGGTGGAGTGAGAAGCGAGGGAGGAGGAGGGGTGTAGTGAGAGTAGCGTAGTGGGTGGAGTGACTGGAGCGGAGTGAGTCGAGCAAGGGAAGAGGGTGTAGTGAGAGTAGCGTAGTGGGTGGAGTGACTGGAGCAGAGTGAGTCGAGCAAGGGAAGAGGGTGTAGTGAGAGTAGCGTAGTGGGTGGAGTGACTGGAGCGGAGTGAGTCGAGCGAGGGAAGAGGGTGTAGTGAGAGTAGCGTAGTGGGTGGAGTGACTGGAGCGGAGTGAGTGGAGCGAGGGAAGAGGGTGTAGTGAGAGTAGGGTAGTGGGTGGAGTGACTGGAGCGGAGTGAGTCGAGCGAGGGAAGAGGGTGTAGTGAGAGTAGCGTAGTGGGTGGAGTGACTGGAGCGGAGTGAGTCGAAGCGAGGGAAGAGGGTGTAGTGAGAGTAGCGTAGTGGGTGGAGTGACTGGAGCGGAGTGAGTGGAGCGAGGGAAGAGGGTGTAGTGAGAGTAGCGTAGTGGGTGGAGTGACTGGAGCGGAGTGAGTCGAGCGAGGGAAGAGGGTGTAGTGAGAGTAGCGTAGTGGGTGGAGTGAGTGAGAGTGGAGTGGAGGGAAGAGAGGGTGTAGTGAGAGTAGCGTAGTGGGTGGAGTGACTGGAGTGGAGTGAGTGGAGCGAGGGAGGAGGGGTGTAGTGAGAGTAGCGTAGTGGGTGGAGTGGACTGGAGGGAGGAGTGAGCTGGAAGAGGGTGTAGTGAGGTAGTGAGGGGGAGTGGTGAGTGGGTGGAGTGACTGGAGCGGAGTGAGTTGAGTGGAGGGGAGGAAGAAGAGCGTGTAGTGAGAGTAGCGTAGTGGGTGGAGTGACTGGTGGGTGGAGTGGACAGGGGTGAGTGGAAGCGAGGGAAGAGGGTGTGTAGTGAGAGTAGCGTAGTGGGTGGAGGGACTGGAGCGGAGTGAGTGGAGCAAGGGAAGAGGGTGTAGTGAGAGGGTGTAGTGGGTGGAACTGGAGTGAGTGGAGTTGAGGGAAGAGGGTGTAGTGAGTAGGCTAGTGGGTGGAGTGACTGGAGCGGAGTGAGTGAGTGAGGGAAGAGGGTGTAGTGAGAGTAGCGTAGTGGGTGGAGTGACTGGAGCGGAGTGAGTCGAGCGAGGGAAGAGGGTGTAGTGAGAGTAGCGTAGTGGGTGGAGTGACTGGAGCAGAGTGAGTGGAGCAAGGGAAGAGGGTGTAGTGAGAGTAGCGTAGTGGGTGGAGTGACTGGAGTGGAGTGAGTCGAGCGAGGGAAGAGGGTGTAGTGAGAGTAGCGTAGTAGGTGGAGTGGGTGGAGGGAATGACTGGATTAAGTTGAGTGGGGAGGAGGGGAGAGTGGAGTGGAGTGAGTTGATGGGAGCGGAGCAGAGTGATTGGAGAGGAGTGAGAGGAGTGAGTGATATGTGATACATTTTGTGTCTATAAGCATTCTAATAATTTTAGTTATATGAAACATTTATTTTACCAAACTGGTATTTGGGACACTTAAAAAGTGTAACATTAAACTTAACATCTTCACTCATGCACTGTATCTTATCATTAACTATTCCGTTACCTTTACAGGTATGTAACAGGATGCAAATCCTGCCTTTACTTCCTGATACAGATATCTCTGGAGAAACATTGTGTGACTCTCTCCGGACCCATTCCCGTCGCCACTGTAAGGAGAGTACACATTTTGCTAGACATACATAGGCGAGGTTGAAGAAACATTGACTTACTAATTACGTCATTTCTTATAAACCATGAAAATTTTTAAGAATAAATAGGAATGGTAGTTTCATTTAGTTATGTTAACGTAAGCTATACCAAAGGTGAATTATATGAAAGTGCATTTAATTTTTAGGCTGTTGAGAACTTCTTGGGTTTAGTCTGTTACATAACTACACATCAATGCAGAAAACACATGGAACAAGGATATGGGAACAGGCTAGACATGTTACATTTTCTTACCAGAAGTTTCCCTGTATTAGGTTCTGTCGATACATGACAAGATTCACCTCATAGAGAAAGAACAGTGAACACTGTGTAGAAACAACTCCTGTAAACTTGTGACATTATGACACTGTATAATGCTAAAACAGTAAACAATATCTATATTGTTATTCATCTTGCGTACTTACCTTGTTCTCAAAGAATGCTCTTGGAACTTGCATAGTTTCTGAAGTTGAACGCTGCTATTTTCTGTACTTGAATCAAAATTTTCTTTTTAGTAGATTCAATTTCACCATATACATAGAATATTTTTCATGTCAAGGAGGATAACATTATTCAGTCTACAGTACACAGAAAATAGCTCCTTAAATGTTATGCTAGATGAGTGATATATCTGTTTCTGGCACCCTTTAACTTTGGTTACTGTACTTGCAGTCTGTGCTAAAATCTCTCAAGTTTGCTGGACTGAAAATGTAAATTGGCATTATTTTCAGCATTTTTAGTCTCACTTTATGGACTGGAAGTGTGTGTGCTCTTACTTGACAAGAACAAAAATTTTACCAGACTTGGCTATTAGACTGGTGGGTAAAGTCGAGGACTGTACTTCAGTTTCTTAGGATATCTTCAAAGAATTTATGAATCGTTGAATATTGTTCTCACCCCAGGAACCTTATTAGTTTTCATTAGGATTGCTTCTAAATATTGTGTAGTGTATCATTCCTAATTGAGTTTCTTTTGATGTGAGATGTTCTTGGATATTTTTTCTCATTCTACTATTGCATTCTATGTCAAATCAGTTTTCTGTGTATCTCGACTTCTGTGTTGTTTCTCCAAGATATAGTATATATTTTTTTAAAGACTTGATAACATGCCTTCATTGATACTTCTAAAGTTTTCTCTAATACTGTTTTGAAATTCTGTAATTATTATTTCTTGCTCAATGAAAGTTTTCTTTAAATCGCTCAATAAATCATCAATGTATCTGAAAGGTCATTTTCCATATCACTGATATCAGGTTTGGGAACACATAATTCCTTGATAAATTTATATATATGTGTTTTTCTTTATATTTCAAGTGTAACATTTCATGTTTCAATTCACTTCAAGCATAGTTTAGGTCATAAGATTCCAATTCATTTAGCTTCTGGAATATTTATACAGTGTGGTAATTTCCTAAATCAGTTGAGGGGTCATAAACTAAATTTTAAGCCCCATGTTACTACATGTATATACTATTATCAAATTCTTGAAAACACATGGGGTCATCCTTTTGAAAATATGTATACATTTGTAAGAGATAATCTCAAACCTTCAATAGATCTTCATTCCCCACCTTTGTCCTTTTTAACTGGATAATGCCAAGGATAAATAGACTTCATTGACAGAATTTCTCATACAAATTTCATTGAAATTCCATCCGTATATATAATTACGAATAACAACAATGATACATAGAAGTATAATAATAAGTATACCAATAAGACTTCCTTCACAAGGAATGTATAACAGTGTGGAACAATCCAACACAAAAATTAATTGGAAAAATTGCAAGAAATGGTAAATTACAGTATTTTTATCATTGCAGGCTGATATTACAGAACAGTTCAGTCAGTGGTCATAAATCTGGTAGAATTTAAATGAAATATTAACTTACCTATTTGTGTTAGCATTCAGGTGAAGATGGCCATTCTTCTTTTTCTTCTTCTTTGAAGTTATTTCTATATCAGTGCCTGTACTATGACAACTGTTCACGAAGGAAACATTGTACTATCTGATAAAGGTATTGTAAAACCTTTGGTTATAAACCCAGAGGTCAAATGTTCTTACACTCTTAATTAATTCCAACAACCCTCAACTAGTTACCAGTTAGACACTGACACTGACACTGGGGATGGGTAGAGGAGGGAGGGGGGTCTTGGCATCTGAGGGAGGAAGTGGTGCAAACAGTTCACAGCCTAATTTGGTGGCATTTTACAGCAGCTGTGATTGGGTAATTGGGAATACACATTCATTTTTGACATGACAGTAACTGTGCAAGAATTAAGAGCAAACACAAATGTTGTTCCCATTGGGTGATCAATTTGGTTTAGGTGTCTCATGTATATATAGGAGTTTAATTAGCTACTAAAGTCGTGTGTATGTGTGGAATTCTTTTACATCACTTTAATACTTTGTTAATATAATCTTGAAATAAAATATTTAAGAGTGTTTTGCTACATAACATCAGAGACCATATAATATATTATATGGTCTCTGATAACATCAAGGTGAGATGAATATATTACATGTTACCTACTAGTATGTTAATACCGCCAACCATGCACAGTACATTTTTGGTGTATAACAAAGCATATCTGTTACACCAAACACATGCACACCTTTTACATGTTACCTCCCCCAATAAAGAAGATGCTTTCCTTACACATGAATGCTATGTTATGTAGATGTACTATAAGAAACAGTCACATTTCATTGTTTTCAAATGAGTCCAGTTATACAATTATACAGTGTCATATCTGGGTTGTATTTCTCACTTTTGCTGCAAACATTGTAATATGTATTGCAGAAAACAAATTCCAGTATTTGAGAGATGATATTATGTACTATACTAGTATATCAAAGGTTGATTATAATCAATGAATTGTCATCATCTTTGGATATGAGTGTTTGTCTGTTTCTAGACTTGCTTGAACTGAATTGGTGAAAGTGGAATTGGTTAAAACTGTCTGTTAATGGCTGAATCAAGTGAATAGAGACCAGCTTGAGTTAGCACTGACTGTGCAGACTTGCCATAAACATGTCACCAGATGCTTCCCTAATTGCTACTGAGTAGCTGTCTGTTCAGATCTGCTGCTGCTCACCAGATTGTTGAAACAAGAATTCCAAGGAGGAACTGACTCTATGAAAGGTGTGAGAACCTACTGTTTATTTGAGCAAGGTGGTTATCTCATATAGGACATTTTGTGGGAGAAATAATAATATTTGTGAAATAATTTGTAAATCTGTGAATGAATTTGGATGGGAATGTATATGGTTAGGTAATTTCTTAATTTTTGCAATGCATGTAAACAGATCATGTTGTCTTGATTTTAACCCATGTATACAATATGTTGAAAAGTTAAAGTGTGACCCATTAAGGTATTAAATATGAATTTGGATTAATATGTATACCATTGGACACGTAAATTTAAGAAGGACTGTGGAGTTAGCTCTTACCTTGAAAAGTTTTGTTTGATAGACTGACATGTTCAGCAATCAAGTGGTTTTGGTTGTTAAATTTGATAAAATGAATTAAAATATATTATATATGTGGGGTTTTATCACTTGTTTGTCAAGAACAAAGCATTGAAGAAAAATCATGAATAATATACATGTAGTTATAAGTGTGAAGTTATAACTGAAGATGGGAAAGGTAATTATGATAAGTAATGCTTGCCATTTCCTAACCTATCTAACAATCTTAATAGGTTATAGGAATATGCTTGAAGTATTGAACTCTTAGACTGCAGCACAAGTCTAAAGTTTCTTATATTCCATGACTATCATGACCATTAACTTCCTCATGGCTAATGGTATGACATACCTATGATGCAGCTTCCAAACCAAAAACACTTTTGAGTAGTATTTCATTGTTAAAATGAACAACAATGTCATGTACTGTGTGCTCAATCACAACAATTAAGCAAAAATCTTGATGTTTTCTGTGGAAATAACATTCATTTCATTCTATACAATATTTTAAATGCATACCATTCTAAAGCTGATTTCTTCCAAACTGTATTAAAGAACAATAAAAAAAAATAGAACAAGAACAAGAAATTTATTCAGTATCAGAGGTCACATGGCCAAGAGTACAAAGCATTGGATCACCCATGTGCACAAGGACAGGTGGACAATTGTTATTCCATCTTAATGCAGTGAAAATGTATAGCTTTTAAGATATGGCATGTTTTCGTATATAATGCACATAATAATTAATGAAACATTAGTAGACCAGCATTTGTGTATTTATTGCTTACTATATTTAAGATTCTTTTTTTTTGTCAGATACCCTACAAGGCTAAATATATTTGGGTATGACATGAAGCAGCATAGTGGCACATATGTTACTGATATTGAATATCTTAAGATATTCGGTAAAAGTGTAAGTCCTGGATGTGATTTTAATTGTTTCTCTTACAATATAGAAATCTATAAATTGTGAAAGAATAGTGATAATGAGTAGTTTGGACTGCTTGGTATTCTTCAATAAAATATTTGTTATGCAGATCAGGAGCAGGTATGTGGAAATATATGGGATATCCAACTTATATCCAGTGCAAATCATCAACCATAGGAATGTTCAGTAATAGACGGTAGAAAAATGCCTATAAATGGGTTCGGTCATAGAAATACCAGTACGTATATATGTCTAAAGTGAAATGGTGTGTGAGCTTGGCTTATGATTAAGGCACTTAAGAAGAAGAGCGAGTGAGTGAGTATGGTTTTATGCCACTTTTAGCAATATTCCAGCAATATCACAGCGAACAGGGTCTTCGGCGCCGTAACCACTAGGCTACCCCACCTCGCCAGAAGAAGAAGAAGAAATTATTTTCTCAAAGTGTCACATGCTGTGGTACAAAATGTATAGATATAGTATGATACATTAAAAAGAGCACCCGGCCAGTTGGCCTACGAGACACTAATTACTTGATGGTACAAATAAAATATAAAAGTGAATAAGATAGTTATAACCACACACACACACGCACACACGCACACACACACACACACACACACACACAGTAGGTAGGTTGTGTCAAACACCGATAAATGTTACAGGTTTTTAAGCAGCTATGAAGATATATGTGACTTGCATGCATCTGCATGCATAATGCAGCATATCCAATACAACAAAAGAAACCATTCTCTTCCCCGCCCCCACCCATCCCACACCCAATTCACGGGGTCATTTTGTAAATATTTCACTCTCTCCGACTTGTTAAGTTATAATAAACTTTTGAATCATGCGAGATTATGGTCTGACAAAAATGTTCATCATATCAACAGATTAATGATGAAACCCATGCCATGCCGACATTATCTTATTCTCATCTATTTTTGCAACCTTTTGCTCAGTTTCTACATTCAAATTTCGGGCTAGTGAATTATTTTGTGGGCTAGTAACTTTCAGGCATAGGTAGCCCGACTGGGTAACAAAATTTGGAAACCAGTTCGCACACTGACTTG